ATACAATTTTAAATAAAAACACTATTTTTAAATCTATTTTTCAAAATGAATCATTAATCCATCAATAAATACTTCAAATCGAAAATGATTTTACAAAAAAAGAATGAAACTCAATTAAAAAACATTTTTAAATTCCACATTAAAAAAATAATTTTCAAAATCATTTTTAAAAAACAATTTGAAAAAGAAAAATAATTAAATGGTTTCCAGAATCAAAGATTTATTTCTGACATTTAAAATGGCAATTCCACTCCTCATTTGAAAATCCATTTCCCTTTCCTGTTAGCTCAAGGATTAGCTATTATATTAGCTATTGTGCAGACAACATGGAGAATTTTAATTACATTTAATGCTTTTTTTTTTTTTTTTTTTACTTCTACTTCTGTCTTCTTAGAAACAAGAATCACCCACATTATGAGTCATTATGAGGTCTGCACGGTGCCTGTGGGATACCATTGCAGTGCCATGCTTAGACCATTAATCCCATGCTGTCTTTGTTACTTTTCCTACTATTGAGCTGCCTGATTTCCCAGTGTAAAACTTGGAGCTATTTTAACACAAGAAAACTAATCTATAACTACAGAAAACCTTCAATATTGAAATATGATTTGATCTATGAAAAAATAATGATGGACTGTAAAGCTTCTAATTGCCACAGACCTCTCATTTGAATTTTATACTTCTAGGCAAATAAGTTACATATTCATGTACTTTGCTGTTGTATGTAAAGACTTTGGACTCATAATGGAGCACTACAAGACCCAACTGTACTAGATATAGATTTTAATCCATTCTGCTCAAATTCCAGCTGTATGTACATGCGTGTTTGGCCAATCAGGCACTAAGACCCAGGGGCCTTCCTCTTGATGCCCTCCGGGAGCGCAGCAGGATTGAATGACAATAAACTGGATGAGATACCGGATGTGCCGAATCTGACCCCAACGGAAAGACTGAAATAGACACTGCAGACCAGCAAGTCCAGGCAGAGGGGGTGGGACAGGAGGGGAAGCAGCAAAAGAGGAAGGGAAGAGACAGCGCATGAGTAAGGGATGGTGAAATTAGTAATCATAAAAATGAAAGTGGTGGAGATTTGTTTCAGGAGCTGCACATAAGTTACACTTTTTTTCTTTTTCCTGACACATAATTTATGTAAAACTAAGTTATAGACGGCCAATAACATGAACTGTTATGTTGAGAAATCAGTATGTTTTTTTAAAAAGTACCGATGGATGAAATAGTGATCGCTTATAGGCTACTGTTCATATTACGGTACATGGCAGGCTGCCATCTTGATCTGCACCATTAAGTGTACAATTCTGCCCACTATAGATTTAGCTGTAGGCACGAATATGGATCAATAGATGACGTTTGGAGTTGGAACTAAATAGTTCGAGCGTTGCTGATTTGGATTTGAGTTTACTGTCGTGATTTTTAGGTACATTTTAGACGTTATAAAGGCTCTACCACAGTACCCATAAGATCTTTTCTGGTTCAGACCAGTTAAGTTACTTCCTAATAAGAACTTTACGTTCAATAATGTTATTTTCACGCCTACACCCCTGAAACTGTCTAGAAATAGTCAGCTGGTTGGACAAGATATTAAAGTAGACCAATTATGCTTTTCCTTGTTTTATCTGATAGAAGTTGCATCACAAATGATGGATCCTCAACATAAACGTAGTCAATATTTCTAATAATGAGGTTAGGATTAAGCCCTGTGAGCCTAAAGGTCAGACTTCACACTGCTCTATATGTTTCTTCAACTTTTCAGTCTTTGTGATGTCAAACAAACTTTCAGCTCCTTTGTACAAAGTCTGAGCGATGTCTGATTTTATGGTGACAATATTAATCTTGACTGTTTGGATGGACTGCTTCTTCTTTGTGCTACACCTTAGTGAGGACAACTTCAATGTCCCGACCTCTAAGTTCACACGTGAAAGTGGCTAGCAGTGGATTTACTAATAGATTGTGTGACTTAGAGGCCCAGAAGGAGAAAAAAAGACTGATTTAAGACTAAACAAGTTAGAAGAAATGTGTGAGAACGAGCAGTACTTCATTAACAGTAACAAAGGGGACGCAGTCTAAACATCATGAAAGTATGATAAGAATGCACATTTCTCACATGTGTTGTCAGCAGAGACAAATGAAACCTTGATACCGACTCGATCAGCATTGATTTTCTCATCAAATACTTCAGCGTGCAACAAAATTAACCAACTATACTCAAAAAGTATCCCATGCCGGCATGTTCTTCTCAGTCTGACCACCTATTGTCATTTAAAATTGCTCTATGTGGCTTTATTACCACTTTGGCCTTCTGATCAATCTATTGACCTTCAAGGAGAGGTCAAAGGTCAAATGTGACATGATTTTTTAAATCTTTATCGTGCACTTTCTATATCTTGGCAATACACACCACACTTGTAAGACCTATAGTAATAAGGATTTATTTTTAGTTTTTAGTTGTTAAAGTTGACATTGACGACCTTTGTGGATTAAATGGATTGTTAACATGACCCCACTCTACACCTGCATGCACTCACATGCATGCATGCAAACATTACCAAAAACATAGCAGCTTAGTGGAGGCAATAAGTACCAACCAAGTGGTGACATTTGTGCTGAACGCTTAAAAAGCCCAGCTTGTCTTTGTGATTCGAGTTGCATGCTCTACCAAACTGGTTTAGGGGTATGAGAGAGTATAAAAGTATGCAAGTAGTTTTCCTAATGGAGAAAAACACTTCTTTCACTTTCTGTAAAAGTACCATATTTGAGTGTTTGTATTAATACATTTTTTATGTATATTTCCTGTACTCCGGTCAGTTTAGTTTTCTTAAATCAGTGGTTTCCAAATTCTAGCTTCTTGTACAAACATCGTTGGTGTTATACAATCTGTGATTTGAAGTTTAAGGACAACTAAAGACTGAATAACATCAACCACATGAGGCCTGAAACACGAACGCGACGGTAAAGATTCACACCTGTTGCTTGTTTCACACTCTCGTAGTACCATAGATTTGAAGCAAATCATCAGCTTTCTCATTTTATTCTGTTATATGTTATATAATATATATTTTGAATATTTTATTTGTTCTTTTATAACAGAAGGGAAAAGTTACGAGATTGTGACTAGTTATCTTAGACGTAGAGCCAAATGTGATGTTTGATTGTTCGGAGTAAGCAAGCGACAACAGTCCAGAGAAGCCAGTGGAAAATTCAGATCACATTAAGCGTTTTATTAGAAAATCCTGAGAATATATTTGTAAAGATCTTTAATTTAAAAGGAAAATGGACTTCTTTAAGCAAAAGAAGTCCATTTTCCATCTTTTTTCAAGCCCTAAAGACGACTGAGATATTACGAGCATATAAGCAACATTATGTATTTCTTTCTGAAGGTAAATAAAAGAAATATACATTTAAAGAGGGAACTAGTGGCATCTTTTTACTGTTATTGTCATAAAAAGTATAAAATTCAAATCTAAACTGTATGACATCACTGGATTGACTATTTGGAGGATTTTGTTTGGGGAAAATAAAACTCCTGTAAATATGTTTGACTTTTCTGATGACTGCCTTACAGTCAGGTGACATCTGATGACCTTATGCACAGTTAGCACAAGTTTGTGTTTGATTTGATTGAATCTTCCCAAAATCTGATAAGTTTGTGGTTCTCTAGTTTATTAGGAAGTGTATTAGCTCCTGTTGCGTTCCATCTCCATCCATCCCATCCCTATCTTCAAACATCTTATCATTCTTTTTTGTCTCGTCATAGTTTTCCTCTACAATCCATCCATCCCTTCATGGTCAGCCCCTCTGCCTAGCATTGCCACTCCTCTAATCCCATTCACTTTCTTTTTCTTTCATGCTATCCCATCGGTCCATCCCATCAGTTTCTCATCCACCCACCCCTCCAGTCCCACCCCAGCGGAGATGGGTATTGACATTCTGCATCCGACCTTGAGGACAATCAATCCCAACCCCACATGTCCCCGTCGCAGTTCCCCGCACACACATACTGATGTTAACATGCAGAAACAGTTGGCTAATAGGATTATAGTACACCATTGCATTTGGTTGTTTGATCGCACCTCCCGGTAATTTAAAAGCGTTTGATTAAAGTCACCAGACCTTGTGCAGTAGTTGTTATTGTTTCAAAACATAAATATAAAAGTAAAAATTGACAACAAAGATTCAGTACCGCTAAATGACTGAATGGAGCCACCTTTTGCTTGTTTTACATGTGTAATATGTATTTATAGAGAGTACAGATTCAAGAGTAAAACCCATCTCTTCCTGACTGTTTCTCCAGCAGCCAAGACAAACACAAGAAAGAGAGGAAGGGACAAGACCCGATCTTTTGGAAAAAAATGTTGCAAACATAGTAGGGCAGTGATCAGTGAATTTGACCATTGGTTATCAAGGAGCTGGCTTGCAGTTGATGTTAGGTTCATGTGCACTGAGGCTTTGAAAAGTTCTGATGCCGTTTTACCACGTCAAGAGATGAAATCGACAGGAAATGATGATTTTCAGCTGGATTTACATGAAGATCAGAAGGTTGCCTTGATGTTCTGCAAACTTTTTGGTTTCATTTTGAAAAAGCGAGACTTCATTTTTGGAAAATTTTGATTTATTTTTTTTTTGGTAGGTGCTACTCAAACTCCCACTGTATTACAATAAACTTATCAGTTAATCATATAAAGAACTTTTGAGTATAGAGATGGTTGAGCTTGAAAATTTGCAACATAGTGAACAGCTTATTTTCATTTAAGCAAGTGAGTCAGAACAGGGTCTTTATTTAGAGAACCCAGAAAAAGAACTTAAATGAATTTAACTAAAATGATGCCCAAGTATGAAGTACAAAAAACCTGCAAAGCTGGAAAAAAACTTAATCCGTAATCACTGATTTCAATAAAAAAGAAATTAATGAAAATATCAATTTCATGCAAATCATTAATAGTCCATCAGCAGATCAGATGGCAACAGGATGAATTTATGCTTACCTCCGATTGGTGCGAGATCCATTCTGCAGCAGTGAGCTGGGGCGTCCTGGTTGTCTGTGTGTATGTATGATTTATAGATGTGTCTATATGTCTGTGAAATTTGAGTTGATGTACTTTTTTATTAGTTTTTTTAAATATTTTAATTAAACTCACTTTATTGTACAGCAGGGAGTTATTTTCTCCTCTCCAGTTAATTTTATAAGATTACTGAACTCCTGCTGTCCTAAGGGTGTGTGCCTGAGGGTGACAAAGAGGCTGGGAGGATGCTCTTCCCCAGCACGACGCGCCCTCCTCCTCCTCCTCTTCCCGGAGCTTTTTCCCAGAGCACCACGATCGTGGTGCTGTCCTCCTGAGGTCACCTCCTCCTCCACCTCCTCAAAAAAGCCCAACCATTCCTTTCACACACACAGCAAAGAAGGGCTCCACTCTCTCTGTCCAAGGCATTCAAGTTACCACTGAGCCTTCTGATGCACAGTCTCAAAAGCAGGCACAGTTTTGGCGCTTGTAAATTTTCTCAGTTTTCACGGACAGAAAATTGTCCTCTGCTGCAGGAGAGAGAAATGGGAATATCTCCACGGAGAGCGGAAGGAGCAAAGTGAAATATCTGCAGCTCAGTTCTTTTGGTTGCAAAAATAAACGGTGATGAGAAAAAAGTCTTAATTGAGAAACTGATCGCAGAACTTTATTTTTTATCTTGTGTTTCTCTTTGTGCTGTAGTTTCCTCGCCACTCTCCAAGAGATGAATGACTGAGAGCTGCATGCACTTTCTCTCACTCCCTCTCTCTCTGTCACACAGATACACAGTCCAGTTACCCCTCCTCCTCCCTTCCTCTCTAACTCCTCCCTCTCCCATCACTGAATTAAATTCAATTCTCTGCTGTCTGAACATGACAGAGCAGAACGCACTGTGTTAACTAATAAACAGGTGCTGATTCTTGATGTTTTTCTCTATCCGATGTAGCCCAAACCAGTTTAATTCAAAGTTTGCTCAGTGTTTCCAATGAGGAGTATAACATGAAGTGAATTTTGTGTAGTGGCTGCTGGGCTTAGTGCCACTTCTGCTTTTCATAATGTGATATAATTTGGCTCCAGATGGTTGGTTGGTTGGTTGGTTGGTTGGTTGGTTGTTTTGCAAACTACTTGGGGTTTTTTCTGATTTTAGACCAGTGCAATAGCACGTAAAAGCTGTCGATCTCACTCATGTGTAGACAGCCAACAGTAGGTTAACCAGTCCAGCTAACAAAGCAAGCATATGTCTTCACAAAATGACATTTTCTGTGTGGAGTTTGCATGTTCTCACCATGTGTGCATAGGTTTTCTCCTCCCTCACTCCAAAGACATGCAGTTAGTGAGGCTAGGTTAACTGGTGATTCTAAACTTCCCATAGGCATTAATGTGAGTATGAATGGTTGTCTGTCTCTCTGTGTTAGCCCTGTTACAAACTGGCAACCTGTCCAGGGTGTACCCCGGCTCACCCTGTGGCAACTGAAGTAGGCTCCAACCCTTCTACCTGCAGCTTTAAGCAGAAGAAGATGGATGGATGGAACAAGAGTGATCTATATATTGTAGGGTAGAAATGCTACAGCATTAGAGTGGTAACCCCAACGATCCAAGAATCCCCTGGTGAGGAAGAACCCTTTTAACAGAACGAGAGACCTCTCGCAGAACATTAATAAGATACCATCTCTTAAGAGATGTATCCATTTGTTCTCAATACAACCATTACTTCCACTGATAACATTGTTGTAACACAGAATAATGGAATCCACATCCATTTAAGAGTATACTGCCTTCATACAAAGTAAAATTAATCTAGAAATTAGAGATTTAAGCATGTTTAGCTCTGTCTGAGCCGTCCGATTTCCTGTGTATTCTCTATTCGCAAATAAAGAGCGTGGAAATGAACAAACTCTCATAGAGTTTTAAAAATTTCTAATTGCTAAAATCATCATAATTAGACATTTTTTATTATTAATTTCACAGCACTTCAGGTGGTCATTGACAGGTTGTGGACTTGAATCTTGCAGTCAGCTGGGAGCTGTCTGTGTGACGCTTACATGTTCCCCCTTTACCTGTAGTTTGCCCATGTTCCTCCGAAAGTCCAAAGACATCCATGGTGGATTCAGTTATTATTTTAAATTGGCCATAAGTGTGTATGTGTGTTGTTCTCTTTCTTCTTTAGCTTGTCTAGAGTGTACACCAACCCTGATCCTATGAAAAATAAGTTAGTATCCAGCATCACCCACAACCCAAAGCTGGATAACTGTTTAAGATCATGGAAGGACTGATGGGTACAAAAGTTCTCTTGTGCTTTGGGAAATCACACAACCTTTAATTCACTGTGGCGTCTGTGCCAAATTATTATGTTGGTAATTTTGACAATAAGTGCATCACGGACCCCCGTGTCATGACTGCTTCTCTGCTGTGAAGCTGTTAATGCAGTTTTCTAAATGAAAACATTTTAGGATTGTTAGGACTATAAATGTTACACAGAACTTAACTGTGGTCAATAGGGGGGGGGAGAGGAAGGAAGACATTGAAATTCATTCATTCATTTGTTCCATTAGGACAAGTGACATCACTGACAATATGCTACATAACTGAAATATGAACCTCATCTTTTGTGTGTGTGTGTGTGTATATGTTTGTGTGTGAGGATGCTCGTGCATCCATGTGTTCGTGTGTACGAGCTTTTTGTCTTTTTTTGGTCTGCGCCCTTACTCAGCAGGATCCTGGCTAGAGCAAGATGCACTGTGCAAGCATACAAGCGTGTAGTCCACACACGCACACACACATTAAGGTAACTGGACACTAGTCCCTAATGGGGGTGAGGGGAGCTCTGTTTCCTGTTGAGGAAAGCATCTGAGATGAAACAAACTGCTGATAGAGATGCTGAGGAGAGGGGGTAAAGACAAAGACAATTAGATTATCTAAAGGAAACCAAAACTACCTTCAATTAAGGCCCTTTCCTTTACCTAAAATCTAAAGAGCATTTTTCAATAATAAATTACCAAACAAAAAACCTTATGGTAACTTAGAAGTGTGTTATGAAATGTACAAAAGGTCAGTATTCATATCATGTTTTGTTTGTGTTGAAGGTTAAAAATACAGCTTGAATATGGGAACAATTTACATTATGAAAATTGATGGCTGCCTGACAATAACTGCCCAGCTAAGATAAAACATAGCTGTCGTGGATGACCCTTCACGACAGCTATGTTTTATCTTCCTTAGCCCTCAGTCAGATAGGCCTTGAGATAACTGAAAACTGTGTAGTCCCACACTAGTTGGTGACCATTTGCAAAAGGTTGCTGGCTTTCACTGGGTGAAATCAGTTGCAAAGTGCTCCATCAAAGACCTTCTTGTGATTGCCTCAGTCACCTTTAGTATGCATGGAAGACAGCAGCCTGTCTGCAAAACTCACTAACTTTTAATTATCAAAATTAGACCTATTTTAAGAAAATTTGTGTGATATTTAAAGCAATACTGGATGGGGGTTTTTTTGGTGACTGCAGCTTCCAGGTAGCAGCATTTAGTAATGCAAACAAAATGAAGGGCAATCTCCATCCTTTTTCGGTGAGCTACTGTCATTGGTGTTTCAAAGTGCAAATGTATTGGTAACTTACCACATCAGTAACTTCAATCCACAGCTCACTCTTCCTGTCATATGGAGGGCAGCTAGTGAGCACTCCAGCAAAGCTCAGCTAAGCTTACTTTTTGGTTGCACATCACCAGCTTCTAGCATCTACTCCTCTGAACTCTGGGTTATTTCCATCTTTATCAAGAACAAGTTTCCTCCATATTCTGCAAAGTACTGGGTTTGGTAAAGTAGTTCTTGTTTTAGGCAATAAATCATTAATAGATGATGATGGTGGTAAATGCACGTTGTTGCTATATCACTGATATCATGAAATAAGAATTTTGATGAGATGAACAGTCATCAGTCAACAGCCATTTCTGATGTGCATCTTATTCTTTCACAACCACTTAGTGAGTAGTTGGGGAGTATTTGCAGACAGATCACTGTCTTCCATGCAAACTAAAGGCTGCTGCTATTTCTGATGTCATGTTTTGAGATTGTATCCTGACATTGTTGTCAAACAAAATTTCCCAAAAAACTTCAACTTTTCTGCATAACTGAACTCATTTGTGTGGAAAATGTATAAAAGACAAATGAGAATCCATAGACACGGGCCTATACATTCTTTTTATGTGTAGCAAATGCAAACTCTTGCTCGTCTAACATGAAAGTTGCATGCCAGCTGATGAAAATAACTACAAATGTGTGTGTGATAAAGAGGGGGAGAGATAGAAAGATGTTCTGGGTCATGCAGAGATCAATTCCAAATGGCCTGGTTTACAGCACACAGTTGACAAAGTCATTCATTTCTGCCGGCGCTCCACACTCTGGAGGCACTCTTTGTGATTGTGATTGTGTGTGTGTGTGTGTGTGTGTGTGTGTGTGTGTGTGTGATTTTTGTTATGTGTCACATTGTGCTGCAATAACAAATGCCTTCTGGATATGGAAGAGGCGTCCCACCCATGAAGCACATGGGTATCAACTTACACAACACATTACAGTATGTCTGTCACGTGAACAGAAGTGCACACACACACTCTTTCCTTTCACTGCTTTTATCTGAAGTGCCTGGCTGAACAGTCAGACAGGAAGCAAGGGGGAAATATCTCCTTACTTCATATGCTTCAAGGTTAGTCTGAGAACTGCAGTGCTGACGGGTTTGATGAATCGATGTGAAATGACTGATGAGTCATTTTAGTGGTTTTGCTTGACATGGTTTTTAGTTAAAGGTGAGGAATGATGAAAGTTTGTAGACTAGTTAAACCACAGGCTGTAAAAAGAGTGCTGCCATGTGGTTCCCTGTGTGGTTTCCGAACATGTGTTTTGAACCCTGAAGTTTGGGTTTACCCTCCTTCATGGCAATGCCAAGTGCCAGAAATTCCAAATTTAGCTTATAAGGAAGGAAACTGGGTGGAGCTGAGATTAGACTTTTTATGACTATAGTAACCATCCTACTAAAAGATATGGATGGTTACATGGTCTTGCATTCTTCCCATCATCTTGATTTGATTTCCTTTACTCATAGTGTATCATCATCAGTTTGCTATCTCTATCTACCTTTGCATATATGTGTTGGTGTACAGTGCTGTACAAAGGCCTTGAGTTACCCCTTGTTTTGTCGTTATATTTTTCTTGGAAAAGAAAAACTAGGTGCAGTGATTTATTGAAAAAAAACTAAATACATTTTAACAAAAGTCTTAAAAGTCAGTAATTGGCATGACTACCTTTATTCATCACCCAGGCCTGAACTCTCTTATGCAAGCTTTCTTTTAACTTCTTTAAGTAGTCTTCAGGAATAATTCCACAGGTTTCTTTAAAGACTTTCAAAGCTCTTCTTTGGGTGTTTGTCTCCTTTTGTTCTGATGCTTGTCAAGATGATTTCACACTACGTTAGTGCTTAGATCCAGGCTCTGGAAAGGTCAACCAATGCCTGATAGTGTTCTGTTTTTTTCTATCCAGGTATCCTTTTACTGTGTTGATGAAAAATGAATCTGTGAATCAAATGCTTTCCAGAGGGAATTGTATGGTGGATGAAAACTGATGGTGCTTTTCTGCTTTTATAATTCCATCAGATTTGATAAGATCCCCAACACCACTGGCTGAATGCAGTCACAAACCACGACACAGCCTCTACCATGTTTTACAGTTGACTGTAGACACCCACTCTTGTA